TCCCTGCCCAGGGGAGGGGGTTGGAACTGAATGATCTTTAAAGTCCCTTCCAAACAAAATCATTCTTTAGTTCTATGATATAAATTCCAATGTGAATGCAGAGAGATTTCCTTCTGTCTTTTACATAAAGCATACACCCCCCACCCCAAGCAGGGGAATAAGCCTCACCTAAGGAATGTGGTATGGCAGATCTGTGTTTTGCTTTAATTAGCATCCTGATGTGATACTGGCTTGGCGTGCAGATCGCTGTTTTGCCCTTGCTAGACTCCATAAGGAACCTGGCAAACACAACACTTCCTTCCATTGTCTGCTGTTTTTCTTGGAGGCTGAATATTTTCATTGAAATGTCACTTACATACACAGCTCATGCTCGGCTGCTCTCAGAGTGCACTCAGGCACTGGGCTTTCAAAAAACAAAGTGAATTCAGCACTTAATCACAGCTTAGCACTCTGCTTACTTACTTGCAAAACACACACTTGAAAGGCAAAATCACAAGCAGAGTGGTCTCTCTTACTTATTAGCAAAACATACAGTTGAAAGGCAAAATCACAAGCAGAGTGGTTCTGGTAATAACAGAAACTTGTGCAGGTTTTACACTGGTGAGTACCTGCCTGCTTGAGCTGCCTCCCAAGGCATTGCAGGGTTCTAAGGTGCTTGTGTCTGGCAGGGTAGAGCTGATAAACAGCAGGAATGGGACACTGGGATTCTGAGCCTGCAAACTTGTGGGCAGAGCTTTCCTCAGTGCGTGACTTGCACCCAGCAGGAAGGAGCCTCTGTCATCTCAACTTTTCTGTGACAGAAATCATCTGAATAATTCATCAGAATTAAGAGACCAAGCTGGAAAAACTTCAGGGTTGGGGTTTTCAGCTCAGCTTAGGCTGAGGTTTTTTTTCAAAGGTAAGAAAAAGTACTTCAGGTTGGGTCAAACAGGATATTTACCCTAAAAACTTGCTCTCAGCAGAGATGCCAAAGCCTCAAAAGACATCACACAGGGAAAATACTCTGGTTTCTTTGAAAAACCAGAAACAGCAGCTGACAGGATCTAGGTAAAGCAGTCCTGCCAAGGGGATCAGATCACAGGTGCTCCAAAGAGGTGGAAGAGTTTACCAGACATGCACCAGGATTTTCACTTTCTTTAACTAGATCTAGTACTGACAGGAATTCCTCTGGATCTGTTAATATTCTTGACTCGGCAAAAAATTGCAATGAAACTCAGAGGTGGGTCTTTAGCTTTGACCATTACTTAGCTCTCTACACACTACACTGGGCTGCTCTACATGTTTTAGAGGTGCCTTTTAGACCCATTTTTAGCCTGTTTTCCAAAGGCAGTGAGGCAGTGACTCTCCATCCCAACTTGCCAGCCCTCAGTAATTTCTGACCCATTGGGTGAACTTCAACCAACTTTGCCAGAAGAGTAGAGGTAGCAAAAATATTAAGTTCCTACATATTTTAAGGAAATATGGATGAATAAAGAAGAAGAAGGATATTACTGCCTTAATCTATTTTTAATATGGTCCCATATTCTTCTGGAGAAGCAACAGCCCCAGATCCTGTGGCTTTGACTAGTACAGGTTACAAAAAACCTCAGGGAAACCAAACTCTGCTGCTTCACACTTCAATGCAGGTAAACAATAGAGATTAAATCAGTCAAGCCTTGGAAATCTGCTCTGATCTACCCAGACAGCACAGTCAGAAACAGCGTTTGCAAATGGACCCGCAAAATTCAGGCAGAAAAGACATTTAGATTAGATTATTAGGAAAAAATTATTCACTGAAAGGGTTGTCAAGCACAGGAACAGACTGTACAGGGAAGTGGTGGAGTCTCCATCTCTGAAGGTACTTAGAAGATGTGTAGATGTGGTAACTGGGGACACGGTGGGATTGGCAGTGACAGGTTAATGGTTCGACTCAATGATCTTTGAGGCCTTTTCCAACCTAAATGATTCTAAGATTCCAAGTGTTAATGTAAATCTACTTTTATGCATGATTTTCCATCATGCAGAAAATGAATCATCAATACCCAAAGAGGCTGATTATGCTAATGAAACATTAGTATCTGATATTACCACAACAGATTATCAAGATCTTTACCCATACTGTCAGGTGAAATAAGGCAGATAGCTTGTTAGATACAGTAGGGTAATTCTTACCAAATGGCACCAACAGCAACCAAAAATCCTACAACTGCTCATTTAGAGAGCTTACTATTAAACTAAAATAAAGTTCAAAAAAACTATTTCTGAAAGCAATTTCTTTTCCCCTGTCTTCTACATTATCCTCTGGGGAAATCTCAAGCAGCATCCAGAATGAATGAAACTTTCAGAGTTTCATTTTAGTTTTTGTCTTTGTTGCCTGTGGACTTAAGGTCTTAACGGCACTATAGGAAATCCAGTCTTGGGGAGGAGGGGTTTTTTTCTTGGTTGGAAAGCACTTCATCCTCATGGAAACACAATAAATGTTCTTCAGTATATTTCTACAGTGCCTGCAAAATTTTGGCAGAGTCATCACAGGAGAGGCAACAATTGTCTACATTTGTACTTGACTTTGCAGCTGCACCAGAAACCACCTCACACCAAAGCTGAGTTATACTGCTGGGAGTGAAAGACAGCAAGGAGTTGTCCACAATTTTGCCAAACTTAGAGGCACTAGGCTGAAATATCTTGCATTTTGTGAAAATAAATAAAGAAAAAATAGCCCAGCCCAGTCCTTTCTAAGGAACAATATAACCCCTTGAGACAGCACATGAAATTCTGTGTTGTCGATTCCAGGAATCTCCAACCCGAGTTTCTGGTCTACCTTGCACTAAGAGGATTGTGTCAGTTTGAGCAGTTCTGTGATGGCTTGTATACAATATATGTGAGAACAAGGTGGTGAAACCAAAGCCAGAGATCTCATTTCCCTGTGAACACACCAGGCAGATTCACCAGCAGCTACGTAACCCTGGGAAGTGCTCCCGGGGGGACTGGCAGGAACAAATGAAGTGTCAAGCAGACATGGACAGCTGCCTCCTAACCTCCCTTCTCTCCAACTCCAGCACACACACTGAGACCTTTACTTGCCCATATCTTTGACAGAGTAAATGAGGTGTGATATTTATCCTTCAAGCTGGCCTGCTAACAAGCATAGTAAAAGTAGATGCACTCAAGGACAAACATAAACAGGGAGCCTTGGTCTGCCTTCAAAAACCTTCTCCCACAGAGGTGCTGCGAGACACTCAGGGGCTGTAATGTGAATTTTCCATATTATAGCAAGGAGTGCTTGAAAGGCTGGTAATGAAAATGCTGTCCACACCACAAAATAATCCTTGGGAAGTATTAGCTAGAGTCCACTTAGCAAGCAACGACCCAGGGAGAAGGGCATACAGATTTAAGATTGGTTGTGCTCATGATACTGATCTTTGAGTGGCCCAGATTTTACCCCTTCTTTTTTTTGCAATCTAAATGGGGCTTTCTCAAAGCTGCTTGATCAGAATCCCTTCTACTTCACAGAACCCAAGTTCAAAAGTGAGGAAAACTTAGGAGAAACTGTTTAGGAGAAACACACTAAAATGAGAAGCTGAAAAACCCACCAAGGAATCTAATAATAATCAGGGCAGAAATGTAAACAAAAATATAAGATACTTCAATGGTTCACAGCCATTGTATCAACAAGTTGGTGTTACCTTGGAAACAAGAGATTATCCATACATGCCTTCTCCCAAACAGGAACCCATGAAAGGAGGCATGCAAAATGGATTTTGTGCCTCCTGGACTTTGCAGTTTGCCCCCCAACTCTTGATACCAATTGATCCCAAGTCTAACTATTGATGAAAACTCAGAAGCGGTGCAGAGTGCACCATCCTTCATGTAACATCCAAAGAGATGAGGGTGAGTACCTGGCCTTCTTGTCCTCTCCACCTTGAGATAACACAGCACTTTCTCAAAAAAGTGCAGAAACATTATTCCCTACATTCAGTTTAGTGCTCTTGGTCTACCTTGTAACACAAGGCACAGCTCTTTGCTGGGGCTGGGGACTGCTTGGAGCTGCTGATGGGCTCTGGCTGCTGGCTTCAGCTGGGCATCTCACCCCACTGGGCATCAGTGAACCTGTGTCCCCCTGGAACAGCTAAATTCTTGGCCTTTGGAAAATTAATTGGCTGGGTTTACATGTACAGCTGTAACAGAAAGGCTCATTCCCTAGTAAGTGTTGAATAGTGAGCAAGTAAAAATTTATACCAATATATAATCAGTGTCACCTCTCATTACAGAGCTACATTTCAGATAACCCAAATATCTGGAAGCAAGGATTTTATAAAAGTGATGGTTACAGTACATTAAACAAGCTAATAATATAGAGCGATAATGTCTATTTATTTTTTTAAAGAGATTAAACAAAACTAAGGATTTGTAAATCAACTTATCACAAAATTGGTACTTCCCACAATCCAGCTGGCTTGTTGGAATTCGTACAACACTAATGTTCCTGTGCAAGTCCTTTTGCAGCACCCTGAACTGAAATGTAGGGCTACACTAAAAATTTACGGGATGCTGTTCTCCCCACAATGCCCACACAACAACTTCTGAGGACATCACCATGCCTGGACCTTACCAACAGACAAGGGACCAGCCTTTTCCCCAAGGCCTTCCCCTGAGGAATTTAACCCCAGAGCTGCCTCTGCCAGATGTTCCAGGCTTCACTATGGCACATCTGGCTTTTCTCAGCTGTAATTTACTCTCCTGCCTTGTCTGTCTGTTCTGCTCTTTTTTTGATGCAATCTCATAAAACCAGTCTGGTTTGATTTGGGTGAGACTAGTCACAAAACAATTTAATTCCCAATTTTACTATAACACAGCACATCATAATTAGAGATCTGGTTTTGACCTCCCTCCAGGGATTTTGCAGTCTGTAGCACACAAGACAAATACCTCTTACATATCCCATCTTTTGAGTTAAAGAACAAAACCAGAACAAGAAGAATTGGCAACTTTGATATAAAAACTTCATTAGGTTCAGTACTTACAACTGCATGACCAAATATAAATGGTTTGGGCTCTCATAGATGTCTTCCAGAGCAACTATATTTTCATGCTTGATCCTGAAAAAATACAAGATAAGATAGGATGAAATCGTGATTTTAATTTTTTTTTTCATTTGACTGTAGAACATAGAGCTATTTTTAGTTACTAGTTATTAGATACTGGGAAAAAATTCTTTACTGTGAGGGTGGTGAGGCATTGTCACAAGTTGCCCAGGGAAGTCACAGATGCCTCATCCCTGGAAATGTTCAAAGCCAGGTTGGACAGGGCTTTGAGCAACCTGGTGTAGTGGAAGGTGTCCCTGCCCAAGGTAGGGAGATAGGAACCAGATGATCTTTAGGGCCCTTTCAACAAAAGTAAGCAGTACAAAGTGCTTCACAGCCCAGAATACCATAATTATTCAGAAAAATTTCTTCCACTCATCTCTGAAACCAAAACGTGTAACAGTTAAGTATCTGAGGCATTAGAGGTTTACAGTTCCTGTGTCAGAGGAGTGAAGGTGGTTGGTTGGAGGCTGAATTGTCAGGACAGCTTTGCTGCAGGGTGCAAGGGAGAGACAGAGGCAGGGTGCAGGCTGGCAGGGAGGAAACAGGGATCTGACCCTGTGAAGAAGCTGACAGGGGGAATCAGCAGCCATATGACAGCCCCATGCTCCTTCCCACCAAATTCGTACTGCTCTGATGTTAAGCCTGGTCTTGATGCCCGAATTTCCCTTTTTATTATTAAGCACTCTGTGCAACAGCTGCAAGAGTGTTCATGGCTTTTCTACATCCTCACCATTCCCACCAAGCCTCTTGCCAAAACACTAGCATTAAAGAGAAAAATCATCTCTACAAGCACACATCTAATTAGCTACTTCAGCAATGCCTCTATGGGTTTGCTCCTTAAATGTTTACAAACTATTTGCAAAGGATATATTTAACTTGTGCAAACTCTGAAGACACTACCCCAGTGCAAGCCCAGGGCAGAACATTAATTACACCAATTCCAGACAATATTTCAAGAGCAAGAGAAAGATGGAAAATTCTAAGAAGAGGCCACTCATTAAACAACAGATGGGTATGTTCAGAAGAAAAGTAAACAAGCATTGTCAGCAAATGCAAAACTCTCTACATGTTTCTAGGTTCAAGTAGCTTAATTAAGAAGCTTAATCATGTGCCAGGACTTTATCCTCCATGGTCACAAGTGTCCTAACACCTGTGTGATGACGTGGAGAGCAGAAGGTCCCTCGTGCCCAGCAAGATCTTTCCCGTAAGCATGCAGACTAATTCAGTTTCCTCTGAATTCACTGGAAATATTATGACTGACCTGAATTTATGCCCGTAATTAGTCATCAAAAGCTGTGTTCATGCAAGGACTTTTACACACAGGAAATTTAATGTCAACAATAAGCAAACTCAAATGTAATACACTGCAGGATGTTAGAGCAACAAACACATGACTTGGCTCTTCATTCTACCTAAATGGCTGGAAAATCCCATGACACTTTAGCAAAATTTCCAGATAGGTTGCATCACAAATTGAATTCTTAATATTTGCAACAGGAAACCAATACACCACCCACTTGGCTTTACACAGCAAATATTGGGAAGCATTTTTGTGCTGTGCAGGTCAAGTGCCTGGTCCCTTAAGGGTTAGTTAGGACAAGGGCAGGCTTGCTTTGTTTAATTTAGTTAGCTGAAGGTGTGTTAGAAATGGCATTTCAAGCAATTTTTTATTTTAAATGCAAATTATTATATTTATTTATCCATTTTCCTTTATGCACCACACACATTCACACGATCCTTTGTGCTCCTGCTACCATCATGATGGTGGCAGTTTAACACAATCAATCTGCCATAATGTTTAAAGCCTCCAGTTTAGTCTGTGGTATGGCTTTCACCATGCATACACAAATGCTTTGCATTTCTGTTTTTGGAGAACTTCAGAGGTTCCCCAAACCAGCCTCACCATCACACACATGGTCACCCACAGAGAGCAGCCAGGGGGGCTGAGGCCAGGAAAGAGCTCATCAGAGATGCAAGGCTGAGCAAGACCCGGGCTCAGCAAGACCCTCTCCCCTCCCTGATTTGCAAACCAAATATTCACCACACCCTGTGCTCTGGAGGGAGGGAGATAAACCTGCTCAGTGCCACAGAGAAAGGGGAGAAAAGGTTTAGCCCCAGCCCTGCTGGGTCCTGCTATGGAGCCCATCTAGCCCCCTCTGAAATCAGATGCTGGACGTGAGCATGTGGGAAATATGAAGTGTAATTTGGGAGAAAACAGCTGAAGAAGCTGAAACACCCCCAAAGGATCCAGAGAGTGATGCCTCCTAGGGATGATGGCATTTGGAGCACCATGTCCCTTTGGAAGATAGTGTCTGTACATACCAACCACCCCAGCTCCTGGTGGCTGCTGAACTCCAGGGTCATGACGAGAGGGGAGGAGGCATTTTTCTCCCCTTTGTCTCAGCCTTCCCAAGACCAGCAAGGCCTCAGTCATGGTGTTATGCACTGTTTAATATCCCTGGCAATGTGCACATCACACACCTGCAAATGAAGCCGCTTGTCCTGCACAGCATTTCTCTACTCAGAGGAACTCCCAAATGAGAAGCTATTAAAAGGAAGATGGAATTCAAAGTTAAAAATCAACACTATGGAGATTACTTGGGGTGAAGCCCACAGTTAAGACAAATTTGGGGCTTGTGCTTCTGGAGCTGGAGCAGAGCAGCCGTGGGGTTCCCAGCAGAGATCACTGCCAGCAGCAGCAGCTCCTCTGCCACTCACTCCAGAAATTCACACAGAAATCCGTGTGCTCCTTTCTTCCCTTTAAAGCATGAGCACACAATCACTTACAGCCCTGACACACAATAATTAATCCTTCAAGGATGAACAATGTTCATTTCAATAACGCTGGGATTTGGGCAAGCAGGTGTGGCATCCTCACAATGTTTTGTTGGTACCACAAAGTCCAACGGGGATGGAGCAAATTTGTCCCACATCCCTGCAAGCAGATGAGCAGTGCCAGATGTGAGTAGCAGGCAGACACTCATTTCTGGTTTGCAGGGATGCTTGGGAACATTGAGAGCCAAGGAAAACACTGTGGAGTGGCAGCTCCTTGCTGGTCGTGGATTGGGAGGGATTTGGGGATGGGTTAATTAACTCCACTTTTATCCCCTTCTAGGAGCACCAAGTGAGTCTCACAGGTTCAGAAGATTCATTCTGCTAAGCCTCCAAATGCCTGCACGCAGCCCTGCAGAAACACTCACTGGACTGTCTGATCTACTCAAGACCTGACAGAATTTATTATTTCAAAAGGTGCTGCTCTCACTTTACGGAAGGGGAAGCATTGTGCAGAAAAACTACAAGTTTTTCTGTAATCACAGGAGAGAATGGAGCAGAGAGGACCAAGATTTCTCAATCCCAGAGTAATATCTGAATCAATGGGCCATATTATTTAAATTCCTTCTGCTTCCTAGCTCTGTGAGAGAATCTTAACCCCTCTTCTCTGCAGACCTTTTCTTCCTTCTGTCCTCTCTCTCCAAACTCCTCCCTTCCCAACACGTGGCTCCCACCCTGCAATGGATAAATCTGCCTATTAACTCTGCACAAAGCAGCTCATTGATGCTTTTAGGGTATGTAATAGTGCAATATTAGGGCTGTAGCAGAGGGGACATGGAAATGGGCTGGGGTGAGAGTAGTTCCCATTACTTGTTTCCAAAGAAAGAAAAAGAGCCCTGAAAGTGAACATCAAAGCATGGACTTGCTTAAAGCAAATTAGATCCAATTACACAAATTGATATAAACTAAGGAAAATTGCCCTTGCCACCCTTTCATCCCATTTGCTATTTTTCCTGATACTCCTCCTCCATCCTGGCAAACCCCTGCTTGCATCACATCCTCCATCTCTGGCACAAAAGACAAGTGCCACCTCCAGCCACCACTGCTTTGTTCAATTTCAGGAACATTTTGAGGCCATTAGACAGAAAGAAGATGTCTAGAAATAAAAATACAAATAAAGAGAGGCTAATTCTTTTTTAGACTCAGGACTTTCCACCTTACAAGTCTCATGTGATGCTGCAATTCATGGGAAAAAGAAGAGTAAAATAAATCTAGGAGTGAGAATCAAGGGAATTTAAGTGCACAAAAAGAAGCATAAAGAGAGATTAAACCTGGTAAGAAACTGTGAAAAGTTTAGTATAAGAAAGAAACGTTGAAAAGAAAGGATGGATTCCCCCTGTTCAGAGCAGCTTTGGGTTGGATTCTGTGCCTCAGGCAGACACAAACCTTGGGGCTCAATGCAACCATGCAAAATTATCAAGCTTTCCCTCCAGACTTTCAGTCTGTGATTCTGCCATGTGCTCTTACAAAGGTGTCAACGATACAAGTGAATGAAGGCAATGTTGCACTTGAGCAATATTTTAACACACGGCCAGCCAAGATTTAAAGGAGCAAAATGAACTGGGCAACCAAAGACTTCAAGTGAGTTTTCTGGGCATGGCAGCTGTGCAAACAAGGGCTGGCAAAAGAGTGCTTGATCTGCAGCTGAGCCCCAAACACAGACTGGCCCCCTTTGCTTCCTGTGGAGTCACTGAATGAGAGCATTGACAGGGGAATTGTCATTTTCCCCCAACTGCTACTGCTAAAACACAGAAACATCCACCTCCAAAGGTGCTGAAACACATCCCCAAAACAAGACTGGACATGACCAGGAGTGACATTTGGCCCTGCTCACCAGTTCCCATCACGCCAAATGGGTGTGCTGCAGCGCTGGAGAGGTGATGAACACATGGAAAGGCATCCCAGTGATGCTAAAATCCTCCCTTGCCACTGGCTGGCACAGAGACACCATGTCCTACTCACTGCCACCAGAAGTGCACAAGCCCCCATAGGTCTAGCTCTAATGGGCAGTATTCACTTCAACGTTTGCCAAAAAATAAAAAATCTAAAAATCAATTTATTTCATGGGTTTTGGTTGGAGATTGCTTTTAAGAAGCAAGGGATTAAAATTTGGAAGTTGATGTACAATAAGGGAAACTAAATCCTTTAATGACTGAGCTTTCTGCACATCTCTGCTGGTT